AGTCTAATAAAGCGGGAAGCCAAAGAGGCTAACCTTGACTACAAAAAAAAAAAAACTATAAAGTTGTATTAGAAACTATGTTTATTAAAAATTTAGTATAAATAAACTAATATATTTTTTTAAAAAATATTATTTTTAAAATTGTATATTTTTAATTTATAAATAATCTAAATTTTTTTAATATAAAAATAAATAGACTATTGTTAACTTGCCCCCGGGTGAAATCACCTATATATATATATAATATTATATAAATATATATACAGTATATATTTATATAGACTATATTATTTATATTTGTTATACGTACTATAGATGTCTCAAAAGTTTCTATATATGATCTCTGTATAAATAATTATCGTAATTTCTATATATAAGGTCACTTTAAAAACAAAAGGACTATATATAGAGAGCTTTTGAAATACTAAGTAGGTAGCATTACACGATAGCTTTATCATTATATAATAGTATAATTAGGCAGTTGCTACAAACAAGTTTGCTAGAACGGCCTTTTCAAAGTTTGCTAATAATTCATAACTGTCGCATCATATAATTAATTGATCATGATATTGAACTTTAGGGGCCACTCTAGTAAACTCACTATATATAAACATGTTTATAAATAACAACTAGGTATATAGTATTACTTATCTAATGCTATACAGTAATTTCTAACCAAATCGATCTTATATACAAAAGATCCCAAAAGTCCGAGTCAAAATGCATCAGATCCCTGGTTTTATTATCTATATAACTCCCACTAACTAGTATAACTAATTCTACCCTAACCACAATGCATTCTGGTTATTCTGACCCGAAAATTTGGTGTTCTATATATGCATATATTTTACGTAGTGCACTATTTTTTAGCATGCACTTATGTATAAAGGTTTACTATAAAGTATACTTATATATCTTGCTACATACTCTAATTGAATATGATATATAAGTATACTTATTAACCTTTTATTATATATTAGTATTATGATTATACAGACCTTTGATATAAAGTCAAAGCCAGTAATACGTATACTGTAATACTAGAAATTTTTCATAAACTAGAAGACATGATATACTAATTCAAGCAATCAAATTTTTAATCATGCTAACCTATATATCACATTGGTAAAGTGCCAGTTTTCAAATGTTCTTAAAGAAGCCTCTAACCTCTAATATTTAATCCTTTTGCTACTATTACATAAGAATTATAATTAACACTGATACATTGTTACATCTATTGTTATACCACTTAATTTGGGCATCGTGGAGCATAATGGCCAGTTTTCTCGCACTTTTGGCAATGCCTTCCCCTCTTTTTATTTCCAGTTGCCTTTTTCAGTAATTCACCCCCAGATTTATATCTTTTAGGTTGTCGACCTTTGTGTTGTACCCGTAACGGATCTCCAACACTAACATCAACATTTGTCAGGTTGACATTTTCGTCTTGAACAGACATATCTCTTTTAGTTTTTTTCAATAAACTGTTCTATCTCATTAACAAAGTCATCAACCTTATTAGCACAAATAGCCAAGTCAAGTGCCTTTTTGGCATATCCCATACCAAATCCGTATTTTTGTTTAGGGCCATGCAACTGTATAACGTTAGGGGTTTGCTTAAACCTTGCAAGGTGCTGAAATGATAACGGTTGAGGCAACTCATTTGACTCAATTTTTTTAATTTGATATATTGGCACAGATGCCTCATCTTCATTAATTTTACTATTGTTATACCAGCGTTTAGGAATAAGTATAATATGAAATCGTGCATTAACAAAATAAGACATGACCTGAAAGAAATGTCTACACACAAGACCACGATTGACAAGCCAAAGGCATGTGCACAAGTGTAAGCTATCATTGAGTATGATAATATATTGCGGATCTGCTTGCTGTCTTCTATGTCTAGTAATTTTTCAAACTTCTTGAACACAATCCTGAGGTATACCTTCGAGCAAAGAAGGAAATAAAGACTGAGGCTGGTCATAGTCATCTTCTCTGGCAATTTCTTCTTGGTAAGAGTCGTCAGTTGTCTAAAGCAAAAAGAAAAAAAATTGTAGTAATAGGTTCAAACTTTTCAATTCTAACTTTAACCTTGTAATATCCTTACTTCCAGAAGTGCTAACCAATTATCAACTAATACAGTGTCATAGCATATTGACTGCGCCATTTGATCTCTTGTTTCTGAAGTATTTGCGGTGTGAGACATTCTTTCAACATCTTATTCAACTCAGGGAAGTATTCGTCCATTATAGTCGGTATACCTTTTGTTGGTATTTCATTTTTGCACTCAGCTAATACAGCCTTTTTTGATTGTTGATCAAATATTGTTTGAATCTCTCCAATAACATCTGTTAGCCGTGAAGTTCTGCTGAGCCTATCTTTAATAATTTTGTTGGTTACTTCAGCTCGCTGGGTACTCTGAATTCCCGTGATAAAATATTGATTTATGGTATAACTCGCTTAACTTATTTTATAGAGGTATAAAACGTTCATAAGTAGTGCTCCGAATCGGGTCAGGCCAACCCGAAACCCAACCCGAAATTTC